CTTGCCAACAAAAATAGAATTGCATAAATTGCATAGGTGACAAGAACTGAGATTATTGCCATAAATTATTCCCCTGACAAATATCTCTAGGAAATTAAATACAAGTTTATTTCTATCTGATGAAGTGGAAACACTCAAAACTTTCTTCTACCATTGCTGCATACTTTGTGAAGTGATAAAATATAGACAGTCACTCATGCTTTGCTTTTCACTTTACCTGAACAACTGTACTAAGTTTTCAATTGTTCCAGCTTTATATTTAAGTAAATTATCAGTCTTCCATAGGCAGAACAGAGTGCTCTCAAAACTCATTATGGGCCTGGAAATAATTGTGACCTTCTTAGTCTCCAAATAGCAACTCAGACGTTTAGAGCCTTGATATAAAAATATATACCTTTTTTATGAGCCAGAAAATCCTGACTCCTGGCAGCAGTAATTTAATTATAGCTCTCTAATTGTAAGCTCTACCCAATTACGTATCTCTAAAGAGGAAGCTCAAACAAAAGTCTTGATAGGTAAAAAGCCTCTAGAAAGTTAGAACTGACATGAAATAGTCCTTGATGTATTATTCCAACTTGTGTCAATCAATATCCATTCATTTTTCCCTTAATAATGAGCAATATTAAGTAGAAGTAGGTAAATGAATGAAAGAACTTAGCACAATAGAAACAGTAATTGAAGCCTAATTTAGATTAGTGCTATATGTTACATTATTTGTCATATAGTGCTGCATCTTTTGTTCAATGGAATATGAAAAAAATGCCTAAAGTACAAGATATTGAACCAGACAAAATAAGTTTCATTCTAAGATAATATATAGTGCATTAGTGCAAGATACTGTTGGAAGAAATGTCCTTCTGGGTTCGGCTCCAAGTGGGGAAAAAGACACTGGAGGCATGCTTAGAAAGATGGTTTTAATGGTAGACAGGGCTACATGGCTTGAAGTCCTGGGGAAAAGGTGATCACATGCTTCCAGATATTGGGTGAAGAAGAAGGGTCGAGGGGGGAAGAAGGCGGGGCTTAGCAGTGAGAAGATGGAGTTTCAGGCTACTCCTGAAATTCCTCTATACCGAAGGATTT